CAGCTGTAGCGTCCCACTCTGCTCGCCTCCGTTCCTCGAGACTCATACGCGATGTCGTTGCTCGTTCCTATGGTGGGTGGCGTATCTCCGTTATCTCCGTATCTGGAGATCTGGCGTAACACAGATAGAAGAGAGGGGGCATAACGCAGCCTCGGCGGAGACTAGTGCCAACGCCGAAAGGATTCTAATTAACGTTATTTACTCTGACTCAACACTAGTCGTCACCGTATAGCGGCTGGATGGCTCGAAGCAGTTGGCGACTAACCCCTTTTGTTTGCAAGCGCGCTCAGATTGTTGCGCGTGATTCGGTCATAGGCTATCACCAAGTCAACAAAGCGCACGTAAACCGGAGGTGTGATCTCCCACAACATTTCTGAACAATCAAAGTTGTATGAATATCCGGTCAGATGTGCTTCGGCCAGACCTGAAGCCACACTGCTCTTCTGGTATCTTAGAATCAGTTATTTCGCGACACTTTTTTAACGTCTTTGCGTAAACCCCTTACTGGAGCACTCCCTATAGCCTCCCTTCTTGAACAGAAATACTACAACTTCCGTTCTCTAATCTACTGCTCTCTTCCCCGTAAACATTGCTGTATAATTCCCCATAATCCTTCAAGCATTTCTAGGCGGATTTCGTCGATTCCAGCAGCTTTACCACCTTTCAAGGTTTTTACAGCTTATGTGATGTCATTTGCATGTAGACTAAGCTTCGTTGCCTGCTGCTGTTTAGGAGAGGCTTCACGCGGTTGCTAGGGGCTAAGAAGTTCCTCAGAGTACTCTCTCCAACGTCGAAGTATGTTATATTTAGCAAGAGGGCGCTCTAACTTGTCCTTCGGCATTCGTAGACTGCCGTTCTTTCCATCTCGGCGGCGGAGGATGGTCTGCCAGTATCCTTTGTTTGCCGTCTGGAGATTCGACTCGAACACATCAGTGAACTTTTCCCAATAATAAGCTTTCGGTTTGGCGAATGCTTCAGCTGCCGCCTTATGCGCTTCTTTGTCATGCATTCGAATTGAAGGCTCTTCGCTTTTGAACCATCTCTTGAATGCAATGTTCTTCTTGTTGCCAGGTAGTTGAGCCACTCATGTCCACGTCAAGAAGTTCGTTTCTGACCTCCAGGCGACAGGTCAACCCGCTTTAACCTGCAGCATTCGGTGGTAGCCCAAGAAAGCCGCTGTTATATAGAGCTTCCACTGTTTCCATGGCAGCTGTTATCACTGGCGTCTGTAAAAACCATCGCACGATGCTCTGCAAATTTCGCCCTCGTTTCTTCTGAAGATAATATTTACCATTTGACTCCGTCGTTTCCTTTGCCTCCAGGTATTCGTATGGTGATCGATTATTAAAGGCGGTTTACGATCGTATTGAACAACAAGATGCTCGACTGACACCGTTGCGCATCTCTTAACTCGAGCATCCGTGACAGAGCGTCGTTAGTCAGACGATACGAGTACCAAAGCGATCATTGACTTTTTGCAGTCTTTACTATACCAGTTAAACTTATGCACGTTTCGGTGCTCGATGAAGGAGTTCGTATAATACTTTCCGTTGTTTGCACAAAGGCCCAACAAATAATTGCATAAGGAGCGGGTGGATAAGTTTTGTGTTAGACCACGGTCCCCAACCTTCCTGCTCTCTTATCCTATCCTGGGAAATCCAAAGGTGGCGTTTTCGTGAACTGTCGCTTAGATAGAATATTTCTGGTCCTAATGGTGCTTATCTCTGAGCATTTCGTTAAATTTTTATTAAGTTTCTGCATCATAATGCACCTTGAATGTTGGATCATTGACAGAAAGTGTGATTTGTTGCTGAAGCGAAAAGATTTTTGATAGCAGATTGAACAGATGATGATATCTTCATTTCTGACATTCTCTAGCACGAACAGAGGAATAGTTATTTATACATATGCTGAACATATGAGTGTTGCTCAGTTCCATTTTGATGTCGTTCTGTTTGTTGTCGAATGCATGCACCTATTTTACTTTAGGATGTGTCGATCTGGTTCTTCGACAAGAAGGTTATCGAAAAGTGGTTCAAATCAGACAAGGACGTAATGTACGACTGTCTGAAACGGGGTATTTCGCAGCTAACACGACTGAGGCATCCGCACTTGCTGACCGTTGAACATCCTCTGGAAGAGTCTCGGTATTTTCAGCGATATCAATACGTTTCACAGTTTACGTTCTTCTTTCAGCGACACATTAGCGTTTTGTACCGAGCCAGTATTTGCAAGCCTAGCTAACGTGCTCGGACGTTGTGACAACATGCCTCCGATGCTTCCGCCTGAACTGATCGACTTCCATCTCGAGGACATTGAAATCAGGCACGGCTTGTCTGAAGTAGCTCAGTTCGCTATCTCCAAAACGTGATTTGTTGAACATACTTTTGTAGATTTTGAAAGCGCTCAGTTTTCTGCACAGCGATATTAAAATGCTTCATCGCAACATCTGCCCTGAGTCAATCCTTATCACTAAGACGGACTGCTGGAAGCTAGCTGGATTCGAGTTCTGTATTTCCGGCGTCGCATCCCTAGACAAGCAGGTACAGACTCTGTGGCGCAGTTGTAAAAGGATTATCCTAAAATCCGTCTAGGCAGTAAGATTGTTGCACCGCCAGTGACTGGCGTGAAAACTGCGGCTTAGGGTTGAACGGTGTACGTCAGCGTTTGTTTTGGCGCATCGTTAGGTTTAAGCAGGAACATATGGCAAAAATGGGCTCCATTCCCTTGGTTGTATGTTCCGAAAGGAATCAGCATGTTTGTTTTGCGGCAGGATCACGGCGTTGTCTAAAATTATGGACAGCATTCTTATTCCGCATTTCTCCAGTATTAGTCATCTAAATTGCGTTACTGCTTCTGTCTTCCCGCCATTTTAAGACATCGTTAGTCCAACGCCGTACGGATTTTTCGTCCTTTTAACCCTTTAGCTACCATCATCTCTTAAAATGGTAGACTCAGTGACGAAAATGTTTCACACTGCTTTTATCTGATGATTAACACTTACGGCGGTCTCAAATTCTTCTTCCGGTCTCCAGTCAGCATGTTCTTTTCCTAAACAAGTCGAACTTTTAGCCAGCTGCCACAAATCTAACATATTGCAAGCAGTGACAGTCGAAGGAGGTTTTAAAACTGCAAACGGTTAAAGTTAGCGATAACAATAAGAAATGATAGTGTCTAACAGAGACCATGGACACATTTTCCCAAATAATCCACCCATCGGCTTTCATGTCTCTGGATTGTTCATGCCTCTCACAAAAGGACAGTCAGTACAAAGAGAAATTCAAAGTTCCGTAATCGGCTGTATCAAGCATCTCTCCATTTTACTCTGTAATCTTCCCTTGCATGTTTAACATGGAAGACACACCCTCGGGTATTCTGGCTGTCTCATGGTATTCACTCGGCCTTTTTCGTTTAAACGGCCGCAGGGTTTCTCTTCTTATGGTCATGTTTCATTCTTCTCTCCAAGGCTGTTTTATAAGTTTGCCCTTGTGCATGAGTTAATCATTCTGAACCAATCTGTTGTTCAAGCTGTACTAGCTTTAGATGACGATGATGGCAACAACAACTTAAACAGTTCGGTGACTGAAATGGTACGGATTTTATTTGTATGGGTTTTGTTTTTCTCGTCAGTAACGCTGTAGGCTGAAATATCAAATCAGCAAACTGGCTTGATAGCTGTGAAGTTTGTTGTAATCTTGATTAAAGGATAAAATGTAATTGTAGCTGTTTTGACATTCATGTGTTGTTTAACATCTTTATTTTTAATTTTTGCTAAGTCTCTGTTTAAAATTGCCTTTTTGATTTTAGACCACCTACCCGTTCGTCGAATGGGATGAAGGTCTCACTCCATACGCGCAGCCCCCTTTGAACTACTTGGCACCGGAAGTGATCTTTGTCGGTCGTTACGACCCTGCTGCTGATATTTATTCTCTAGGAGTGCTCATCTATTCCGTCTACAACAAAGGTAGTGCCGTAAACAACTATGGAAATAGTCTGATTACGTACAGGAAAAATGAGAAACAGGCATGTTTTTCCGCTTAACTCTGAAATATTTTAAAAGTAACGTCTTGACTGCTTGCTGTCTTTGTTTTTCTGTTCATTCGTGTGTAAAATTTTCAACTGCATTTATCGTCGAAGCGCGCACGACATATTACTTAATTATGCCATAGACCCTCTTAGTGGAAGAGAACAGCATTATTTAACATTTCTTAGGTTTTTAACTTTCGCCAAAGAGTGCACAGGACCATTGTAAGATGGCATGCCATGACGGATTAAATTCGCATGCATTCTCCCAAATCATGGTAGCCGTAAAATCACGTGGTTATTGTGACACTGTCTGCTAAACAGGCTATAGTAATCAAATGAAGCATCATTATAAGCAAATATGTTAGATGAAATAAACGATGGAGTCAAAACTATTTTTTGCATCACAGATGTTGACCTCCGCACTACTTCACAACAGGTATTATTGAGTTCCGTTATTCTTGGAAATTGTATTTGGCACGTGTTTCAGTCAGCTTAGACCGCAAGTTTGAACGACTGCCTTTTTACTTAGTTGGTAGTTTCTTGGGTTAAACTTTCTTTTTTCTCATAGTACAATCCATTTACTTATCTCGTAGGATTGAAAACGGGCTAATTCTAACTTTTGGAGTGTAGACTTCTTTTGCTGGGTGTTCCACTGCAACAGCTAATATGTCAGTGCACGATGGTTTTTTCAATCTGCCTTCATAATCACTGTTATGGTTAGCTTTAGCATAATGCTTTATCGTAATTGTTTTCATACTTAATATCTTTATTGGTCATTATAGTCTTTGTCGTAATGTGCAGTATGGTTTCATTTTTATCATAAAATCTCAACCTTTTGTTTTTCTTTTCTCATTTTTCTTTTTGTTCTTCTTTTGGCGTAATCATTGATCATGGTTATTTGCCTAGGAATCGTCGTCGTTGACCGTCATTCACCTGCTTCACTAATATATTCAGTCGCGTGTGTCCCGCTTTGGAGTCAGCTCTGTTTCCTTTGGCGATAGTACATTCCGTCGCTTCTTAATCAGTGAACCTACCTTGACAGGATGTTTCATCCACCTGGATAGTGGTCTTTCACTGAACTCTCACCAGAATGGTGGCACTGGGGTTCCACTGAAATAGTGCACAGGCCCCATGACGGCTCTCTAGGCTGGGTCCTTTGTTCGCACCCTCATTGCTTGGCGAAGGTAGGCGGTTTTGGCACTAGACCTCTGGATGCAAGGATTGCATTTTTGAGCAAAAGATATGGTTTCCATCTGAGTCGGTTCGGATGGTAGCTGAAGCCAGTTAAAATGTTTTTATTGTTGCACCTAGAAGCAATTTTTTGCTGAATTATATCATTCTATCAGGCAGTGCTGAATTACTGTGTATTGAATTTAAAACCTTGATGAAAATGCCTGTCGTTATCAGAAGGTTTGTTGAAAGACATTCATATTTAACGGATGTACGTTTTTAATGTTTATTCATCTTTATGATAAATGCCTGCATGTGTTCTGTCCAGGGACTAAGCTTTGCTCATTTACATCTTTTAGTTGAAGACTCCGTCGCCTTCTGTACTGCGTTCAATCCCAGATGATCTGAAGGAAGATTTTAAAATGTGTCTGTTGTTCACGTCTGATCTTCGGCCAGATGCGGTGCAGTTGGCACAGGTACGGAAACGACATGAAATCACAATGTGGTTAGTTTGTTATTTTGGCTTTTTGATATTCAGGTAGCTTACTTTCGTACCGATCAGCTTAAAGTTCTTCAGCAGCTGGAAAGTTTGTGCCAATGTACGATCATGGAGAAGGTCGAGTTCCTGAAACTGCTTGATAGTTATATAGAAAAGTTTTCTAAGGTAAATTTTTTTAAAAGCATTTTTCGTTTGTGTCTACTTTGGATTCATCGCACAACCAACGCCTACCGTGAATAAGCAGTGGCAGGATGAAGTGCTCTATTTAATAGCTAAAATGTTTGGTTAATTCGTTGGTAATCAAACTGAAACAGAGCACCAGAATATGGTTTATTAATCCATGACGCTGAAAAGTTAAATTTTGCCAATTAGGTGAGGTTATTGACCGGTACCATCGTTTTGGCCGGTGCCTCACCAAGAGGCTTATCGGCTACGTACATTAAACCTGCTGCAGATGGCCCAAACGATCTCCGAACTTTGTCATCATCTTTACTTTGAATATGGCCCATGAGATACAGGCCGAAGTGTTGATCAGTCACCTAAATGACCAACGTTTTTACCTTGTGGACTAATAAGCAATGCTGTTTTATTGTATTCAGCAATTGTAGCCACGGAAAGTTCTAAATCACCGCTTTGTACACTCTGACATCGACCATTGTCAGTGCAAATTTGTTGTCCCAGATGATGACCAATATCGATTTTTCCTGAAGCGTTGGTATTTCGATTTCGATTTCTTTCAACTTTCTTCAGGCCCACAGTCTTTCAGTCAAGTTGCTCTTGTCTTGCCAGTGGTTAACACCTGCCATGACCCCCTGAGGATAACAGACAGACGTCTTTCCTTCTTCCTCTTACTCTTTTTCGATCCACGGCACAAATTGTCGGAGGAAATGTCCTGAAG